TCTGTCGCCCAGACTGAAGTGCAGTGGTGCGATCTCCACTCACTGATAGCTCTGCCTCCCAGGTTCACGCCTTTCTTCTGCCTCAGCCTCCCGAGTAGCTGGGACTACAGGTGCCTGCCACCGTGCCGGGGTAATTTTTTGTATTTTTAGTAGAGATGCCGTTTCACTGTGTTAGCCAGGATGGTCTCAATCTCGATCTCATGATCTGCCCGCCTCAGCCTCCCAAAGTGCTGAGATTACAGGCGTGAGCCACCGCACCTGGCCTTAGAACAGGATTTCTTTTGTTACATGAATACTTTTGGTCTCTATGGATTTGCCGTTTCTGAACATTTCATGTAAATAGACTAATGTGGCTTTTCTGACTGGCTTCTTCCACTTAGCATAATGTTTTCTAAGCTTATTCACAGTGTAACTCATGTCAGCACTTCATTTCTTTTCATTGCCAAATAATATTCCATGGATGTCCCTCTACGTGGGGCATTATTCTATGCCACATTTGATCCATCAGTTGATGAAATTTAGGTTGTCCCCCACATTTGGGCTATCGTGAACAGTGCTGCTATGAGCATTTGTGTGTTATGTTCTGAGTCTCTATAAGATTGTCTGTTTCTTTGCAGTTTACTCAATTAGGAAACTGGTTTGTCTTAATAGACCTTTCACTGTCTGGATGTTGCTGATCTCAACACTGTAGTGTCATTTAACATTTTTGTGTGCCGTCGTGTTTCCTCTGAATTAATATTGAGATCTAGAGGCTCGATCAGATATACGTTCAAATTTTTTTTTAGCAGGAATACTTGATGGGGGTGTTCTGTTCTTTCATTAGGAGTCGCAGTGCCTGCCTGGGAGTTGTTCTTCTGATGTCAGTAGGCAGTGTTATCGCTTAACTCCATTAATTTATTAGGGGTTCAAACTTGGTGCCTATTTCTCAAGAAATTAATATGGGAGCTTTTTGCATTATAGTTTCAAATTCATTAAAATGGTGTGTGGAAGTACTTAGTATATACTTTTTTCTTTTTTTTGAGACAGTCTCATTCTGTCACCCAGGCTGGAGTGCAGTGGCGTGATCTTGGCTCACTGCAAGCTCTGCCTCGGGGGTTCAAGCAATTCTCCTGCCTCAGCCTCCTGAGTAGCTGGGACTACAGGTGCGTGCCACCATGCCCGGCTAATTTTTTTGTATTTTTAGTAGAGATGAGTTTTCACCGTGTTAGCCAGGATGGTCTCGATCTCCTGACCTCGTGATCCACCTGCCTCGGCTTCCCAAAGTGCTAGGATTACAGGCTTGAGCCACCATGCCTGGCCTACTTAGTATATTTTAAATAGCTACCTTATTAAATTTTCTTGTAAGTCCTTACAGCTTTTCATAAGAGTTTCTAAAACTTTGTAGCTGATTATGCTATATGCCAATGAGCATTTCTGATGGGCCCCTCCCTCCTTTCTCCTTGCCACCCTGCATTGCCTAGGACTTAGAACACCCTGGTCAGCAGCAGCAGTGAGGGTGCCCCCTCGTTACAGGAATCCTTCCATCGGTGTTTACACTCACCCAAGCATGGATGCACACTCGTGTCTCTCCGGGGTTACAACTGATGGGCAGACAGCCACACACACGGATCCATGCATCCCTTTGGCTGTCCTGGGAACTACACTCAGCTGTGATCCATGGGCTGTGCCATCAGGGCCCGCAGATGGCCCTTATCTGTGCAGGACCCCGGCCGGCATTTACTGACAATAACGTGGCCAGTTGGTCTTTTCTTTTTTTTTTTTTTTGAGGCGGAGTCTCGCTCTGTGGCCCAGGCTGGAGTGCAGTGGCCGGATCTCAGCTCACTGCAAACTCCGCCCCCCGGGTTCACGCCATTCTCCTGCCTCAGCCTCCCGAGTAGCTGGGACTACAGGCGCCCGCCACCTCGCCCGGCTAGTTTTTTGTATTTTTTAGTAGAGACGGGGTTTCACTGTTTTAACCAGGATGGTCTCGATCTCCTGACCTCGTGATCCGCCCGTCTCGGCCTCCCAAAGTGCTGGGATTACAGGCTTGAGCCACCGCGCCCGGCCGGTCTTTTCTAAATAAAGCATACAGAGGAAGTGTGCTGAGGCTGGGCCAGCATTAGGTATAGAACCTGCAGGCCGAGGAGGCGGCAGCCTGACCCGCCTGTCAGTCATGGAAGTCCCAGAGTGCTACCAGCGTTGCTGTTACAGCACTTGTCTGCCCGAGTTTATTTCCTCCAGGGGCACATCAGGGGCCTGCTCTGGGCGATGCAGATGCCCAGGCTCTGCCCTGGAGAAGTGGGGGAAAGCTGTTTTGAGCATTTTAAAGATGGGGAGGAGGCCTTTCCCCTCTACTCCCAGTGGTTTCCCCTCCTTTCTGAAGCAGAATTGCAGGACAGCTCCTGAGAGCAGCAGCCAGCCTCCACAGAGCGGGGGGTTCTGGGGTTTGGTCCAGTGCTGAGAAGGGAAAGGGTGGCTTTCTCTTTGGCCTGTTTCCCCCGCGCTGAGCTGCTGACCCTTTCTCAGGGAGGGACCAGGAGGCGTCTTCGATTCGGAACACTGAAGCCTGGCACACATGAGGGGAGTTAATGGAGATGGGAACAAAGGCTCTCCCAGAGGACTTACAGCTCTCAGGCAGCGGACAGGAAGGGGCATGGCCACGGCTTCCTCTTGCACTGAAGAGGGGTGCATTTTTCCTGTTTGCTAAATGCCAGACTTGGGGATGGACCAACAGGACAGCTCGACCAGCTTGAAGGTTTTTAACAGAACAAAACAATGGGAAAATGTTTTCAAATTTCTACCCCCCCTTCTGCTTTTGTTTTAACTTAGAGGAGGTGGGCGTGGCAGTCTGAGAAAAGGAAACTAGCAGTGTAATAATAACATTAATGGCACCAAGTGTATACTGCAAGCCAAGTGCTGTTCTATCTAAATGCTTTATATACAATGATTTCCTTAAATTCTCACAATAAAGCAACAAGAAGAGACACAGTCCTACAGAAGAGGAAAATGGGACACAGAAATTAAATGACTTGCCCAAGGTCATACTGAGAAAGTCATGGTGCCAGAATTCTGACTCAAACATTTTGGTTCCAGTCTTCTGCCCTTTTTTAACTAAGCAAAAAAGGAAGCTAGAGAAGAACTGTACTCTGGAGATGCCAGCAGTCTCCAAGGAGCTCCCCGTAAACATGCCGGAGGAACAGATGTCTGCCAGCAGTCTCCACCGTAGTTTCTCTTTTCCCCTTTGCAGCCTCAGAGCAGGCTGAACTCACAGCCTTGTGCACCTGTCCCTGTGCATCTTTCTCTCGGCTCTGTTGAGCGACCCATCTGGCCACACTGACTGGTGGGCAGGTGACAGACTGGCACGTAGCACGTGGGCTTTGGCATGCTTGGGGTCTCTGCAGCAGTGCCAGCTGCTCCCGTTGTGCGAGACGGCTGCCGGCAGTGTGAACAGGAGGGCCACCAGCAGCCGTGAGTCTCATCGTAAGAACACAGCCGGCAGTCCTCCGGGAGAGAAAAGCTGGGGTGAGCCAGGGCCTCTGGAAGATGTGGGGTCTTCCCATCCCCCACACCCAGCCTGAGCTGAACGGAGCGAACTAAGAGAGACATGACGGACGGTCAGCTGTCGGGAGGACAGGTGGGTTTAACAACAAGGGGGGCTTGGAGTGAGCGTGAACACCAGGCCAGGAAGACACTCAAAGCAGCTGGAAGTAGAAATGGCAGACCACGGCCTCAGCCACTTAATGTTCACAGGCCACAAGGCAGCATCTGGCTAGTCACTCAGATCCTCTAACAGACAAACCACCAAACACACACACACACACACCCTGGCTGGACAGACTTCCAGATGGACAGGATCCCAGGGGAACACCCAGCGGGACCAACAGACGGATTACTGACAGATGGGAAGACCCTCAGCCAGACATCCAAATAGACCTATGGCCAGAGAGACACCTGAGCCCCCCAGCCAGGCAAAGGTCAGAATCCCTCAAGGACAGGCTCCCTCCCCGAAATGGACAGAGACGTTACCCCAGAGGAGAGAACACACCACCCACCTAGTCAGCCAGACCTTCAGCTGGACAACATGCCCTCCACCAGTCAGACAGACCTCAGCCTATGAGGACAGACCCTCAACAGGATCCCTGCTGCTGGACAGAGATCCTCTAGCCCATGATGACTGCCCTTAATAACCACGTGTGCCCAAGGGACCCCAGCTGACTTCCAGTGAATTCCCTATCACCACCATCCTAAACGACGACTATTGTCCTCCGACCTCCCTTAGAATGCTCCAAGATGAAACTGAAAAATGATGACCATGGATTTCACAGCGACCCCTGCAGACCTCACAATAAATCAAACAGCCCTAGCTGCTGACCCCACAGACCCGCTTTGATCCCTCCATCCCTTAAGCCAAGGTCAGCAAACCACAGCTTGTAGGCCCCACACACACACTAGAATAATTCATGACACACGAAAATCACATGAAATTCTAATTTCTTTGTTCATAAAGAGTTTCACTGGGACACAGCCACACTGTATACTGTCTGCTTTCACGTGCCACAGCTGAGTTAAGCAGCTGGGGCAGAGAGAGCAAAGCCAAAACCACTTCCTCCCGGGCCCTTTAGGAACGTGTGCCTTCAATACTCGGATGGCTCCTAGTGAATTAAATTCACCACCTGACATCCTGCCCCTGTTGACCCTTCAAAGACTCAGGCACACATGCAGGCCCCAATGCTACCTTCAACCCCTCAAGGACCTCAAGCCAGTGTCCACGGACGCCCCCTCCACTGGCACCCCCTCTGAATTCTTCCCACTGGGCGAGGAGGGGGCTGACCTAGGCCTGTCCTTGAAGAGACCCCGGTGCCAGTCGGTTCTCTCCAGCCTCCCCTCGGCGATCCCGGAAGCCGGCTCGTCTCTAACCTCCGCACACTTTCCGCGGATGGGCGTGAAGGCCGAGCGCCCGGGGTGGGGCCGCGCGGGCTCCGAACACCGAGGCTGGGGCGCCCTGCTCGCCGCTGCGCGCGTCCATTGGCTGCCCAGGCCAGGGCGGGGGCTCCGTCTCCGGCCTCCGCCTCCCGCGGCGTCCACACTCGCGGCGGCCGGGCTGGACCTCGCTGGCCCGCGGCGCCATGAGCCGCAGTCTGGACGCCGCGCGGAGCTTCCTGGAGCGGCTGGAGGCGCGGGGCGGCCGGGAGGGGGCCGTCCTCGCCGGCGAGTTCAGCGTGAGTGGCGCGCCCCGGCCCTGGCCCCGCGGACTCCGGTCCTTCGCCCCCGGCGGGCTCTGCCTTTCCGTCTCGGCGTCCCGGGTGTCTCCCCGCCTCGGGGATCTCTCCGTGTGTCTCTCCCCAGCGCTTCTCTGTTGCTCTTGCTGTCTCCGTCTTCGCCCTTTGCCCACCGCGGCCCGGCCTGGACGGACCGTGCACACCCTCCTGGTGTCCTCGCGCGCCCGGAACAACCTGGCTGGGGCGGGGCGGGCGGGGCGGGCGCCGCAGGGAGGGGGGCGGCCTTGCTACGCCGGACAGCCCCGGCCCCGCCGCTCCTGGCGACCTGACTGTCCCCTGTGACCGCAGGAAGGAAGGGGCTGCCGCAGGCGAAGAGGAACGCGGGGGCCGTGGCGTGGTGAGGGGGTGAACGCGGGGCCCGAATCCGCGTCCGGGCCCGAATCCGCGTGTGGTCCCGGCGGTCTACCTGGCCCCTCTGGCCTCGGCTTCTCCCTGGTGAAATGGGGACATGAATGACCAAACTGGCCTGAGGATTAAATGGTGCGGGTGGAAAGCGCTTAGCACACACTGGGCGCGCACTTCGCAGGGGCCAACGTCACTGCCTATAAAGATTCTAAACGTGGGCTGGGTGCGGTGGCTCACACCTGTAATCCCAGCACTTTGGGGGGCCGAGGCGGGAGGATCGCTTGACCTCAGGAGTTCAAGACCAGCCTGGGCAACACAGCGAAACTCCTTCTCTACTAAAAATACAAAAATCAACTTTGCGTGGGCACGTGCCTGTAATCCCAGCTACTAGGGAGCAGAGACGGGGGACTCGCTTGAACCTGGGAGGCAGAGGTTGCAGTGAGCTGAGATGGTGCCACGGCACTCCAGCCTGGGCGACAGAGTGAGACCCCATCGCAAACAAAATCAAACCAAACAGAAAGTCTAAACGTTACAATACGGGTAGTGCAAGCCCAGCGTTAGGAAGGTGCACGCAGCATGCTAGGCGCTGCACACTACGGTCAATGATGTGTTTGAAATGTAATATCTTATAGCTTACGTACCAGACATAGAAACATACCTTACAAATGCATAAACTGATATATGGTGATGCATATCAAGTTTAGCAATATATGACAAATACATAAAAATAGTATAAAAGACCGTTTATACAATAAGCATTATATAACTGCATAAAACAATACAAACGAATATAACAAAGATTATAATTTATAAAATGACCAAAGTTATTTGATAACTTCGTAAGTAAATATACAATATGTAACAGATAATTATCAACCTAAGTAATTTACACACATGTAGAAACATTGTATATAAGAAACTAAGAAATGCATAATAAATGTAAAATACATAATTACACAATATAAGAATGTGTGTAACAAACGTAAACGTAATACCCATGTGATATATGACATCAGGCGACTGGGTGGGTTCTGAACTGTGCACAGCGCCCAGGGCCTCACATGCCGAAGGCTGGGTGGTGAGGGCACCCCTATCCCCCAAGCCTGCCTCCCGCATGTGCAGGAATCACTGGGCTCTTCTAGGTGTTCCCACTACACAAGGGCATCATGAGGGCTTAAATGACCCAACACACCAAGTAAAGCACTTAGAAGAGTGGCTGGCACACACTATTCTAAGTGGCATGGGTGTTACTTATCATTGAGATTATGAATACCTGACGATGATGGTAATACACAATTCACTAATTATTATTATAATCTCCCAGTAACACAGTGCCTATGGTATCTTGTACATAATATGTTATCCATTATAATGCCTATGCATTGTACATTCTCTTAGGTTTAGTTATATAACCCTTAATTTATTTCATCGCAGTTATTGCTTACAGGACAGTGTTACAGATTGAGTGTGCAGGGGGTGGGTGCCGAGAGGTCTGAGTTCGACCCTCACCGTGTGCCTTCCTGGTTGGGAACTTCCACAAGTCGCTGAACCACGTGGTGCCTAAACTTCCCCGCCTGCACAATGGGGGCCTCAATAATAGTACCCACGTCGTAGGAACCTGTGATTATTACCTGCCCTTAGCACAGAGACTGGCACAGAGAAGGTGCTCTGGGTCGCTATTTCTGTATCATTATTATTAGGCAGGCCCGGTGCCATCGGGGTCTGCACTCACCTCCCCAGGCCACTGGCTTTGTATCCTGCGCGTGCCTAGGTGGCCCGGGACTCTGACCTGGCTCCTCTCCTGTCTCCTCCCCTCCCCGGCCCACTCATGATGCTCTACCAGGACATCCAGGCCCGCTCGGCCGCCTGGAAGGCTGATGGCATATGCTCCACTAAGGCGGGCAGTCGGCCAGAGAACATGAGGAAGAACCGCTACAAAGACGTGCTGCCATGTAAGTCGGGGCTTCCGTAGGGAGCCGGTGCAGCCGCGCACGCACCGCCACTGTCCAGGCATCAGTGTGCACTGGAGTCACCCACTGCGCTCTCCTCCCAGAGCCTCACCCTCTGCACTGCTCAGCAGCCCACCGGGGCACCTTGGTGGGATCTCTGCAGGTGTGTGGTCCCCTGCTGGCTTTCAGCCAGGGGGCTGTCAGACCCTCGGTCACCCTATCCTCCCCAAACTCCACGTTTCTCACCTTATCTGCTGACAGATGATCAGACGCGAGTAATCCTCTCCCTGCTCCAGGAAGAGGGACAAAGCGACTACATTAATGGCAACTTCATCCGGGTGAGGGTTGGGGTCAGGGAAGGAGGTGGACTGGGAGTGGCCGGGGGGTGGGCAGCAGAATCTCAGTAGTGAATTCGGCCTTCACCAGGGCGTGGATGGAAGCCTGGCCTACATTGCCACTCAAGGACCCTTGCCTCACACCCTGCTAGACTTCTGGAGACTGGTCTGGGAGTTTGGGGTCAAGGTCAGCACTTGGGGGCAGGGCACAATGGTGGGGTCAACATCTAAGTAACCCCTCAGCGTTTCCCTGGCCCCCTCACCCAAATCACCTTCCTCTCCCCTGACCCACCTTGTCTAGGTGATCCTGATGGCCTGCCGGGAGATAGAGAATGGGCGGGTAGGTGTCCTCTGTCCCCGGGTTTCATGTCCTCATGCAAGGAGGAGGGAGGAGGGAGGAGGGATCTTGCTAGCTCCTCCTTGACCCCAGGACTCGAGGGTCCAGCTCTTGGAGTGGCCTTACTGTGGCTCTGTGGGAAGCCCCATTGTTGCTCTAAGTTTCTGTTGATCTGTTATTCATCCCCCAGTGTTGGCAACCCCTCTCCTGCTGGGTTTCCCAGCCATTTCACACCTTAGACCATAAGGCCCTATTCTGACTTCTTCCCCTGTAGGCTGTGATCTCTCTTTCCACCTCTCTCCTCCTTATTCACTCCACTCTAACAACTCTGGTCTCTGCTGTTCCCCACATGTTCAGGGATGGCTCTGCCTCAGGGCCTGTGCCTTGGCTATTCCTTCAGCCTAGGACATCCTTCTCCATGGCTTGCTTTATCACCTCCTTCAGGTTTTTGCTCAAATGTTAACTCCTCAGTGAGACCTTCCTGGGTGGCTCTTCACACCATTTTAAACTCTCAGAACTTCCACTCTCCCTCCTTTGTCCTACTTTTCCTTTTTTCTTCACAGCTCTTGCAAACTCCTAACACACTGGATAATCTACAAATGTATTATGAACATTGTTTATTCTTAATCTCCCGATTTAGAAGGTAAGATCCATAAGTCCAGGGATTTTTGTTTTGCCTGTTAACATAAATTAGTTAAATAAATAAATGCATGTCAACAATGAAGGCTGAAGGCACATAGCTTCATGTGGTTTCTACATTCTTGCCTGCTCCATGGATGGGGTGGGGGTTCCCTGGGGTGACTAGCTGATGGTGGAGACTGTATGATCTGTAGTGATGTCTCTTTCTCATTCCTGATTTTGGTAATTTGTGTTCTCTCTCTCTGTCTTTCGGTTTCATCTCTCTATCTTGCTATCTCTTTTTTCATGCTCCTACCTCTTTTTTGTAAACATGTATTAGAACACAGCCACACTCATTTATTTACATATTGTCTATGCCTGCTTTTATGCTACATTGGCAGAGTTGAGTAGTTGCAAGGTGAATAAATTATATGGCCTGTAAATTCTAAAGTATTTATCTGACCCTTTATAAAAGTGTCAGCCAATCTTTGGACTAGAGATTTTTTATTATTTTTCAAAGAAACTGCTTTGGTTGTATTCATTTGTATTCATTTTCTCTATTGATTTTTTCATTTTCCACCTTTTTTTTTTTTTTTTGAGACAGTCTTGCTCTGTTGCCCAGGTGGGAGTGCAGTGGTGCAGTCTTAGCTCACTGCAACCTCTGCCTCCCAAGTTCAAGCAGTTCTCCTGCCCCAGCCTCCTGAGTAGCTAGGAATACAGGCACATGTTACCACGCCCAACTAATTCATTTTCTACTTGAATTTCAAGTGTACTTGAAAACAACATGTATTCTGCTTTGGTTGGCTGGAGTGTCCCATAAATACCAATTAGGTCAATTGACAGACTTTTTTGAAAGACACTTTTGTATCTTTACTGTGTATTTTATATCTTTACTGATTTATTTTCTCTAAATATATCGATTGCTTAGAGAAGAGTGTTGAAATTACTGATCCTCTTGTTCAATAAATATCGATTAGGTCAAGTTTGTCAACAGCACTAGTCAAGTCTTATTTCTGACAATTTTTTTGGTCTGCTTGTCCTATTATTTGCTGAAAGAGGAATGTTGAAATCTACTTTAATATTCTTTCAGTTTTACTTTCCATGTTTTGAAACTTTATGATTGAGTACATATACATTTAGGATTATGTCTTCCTAATGATTGGATCCCTTTTCTAATATGTAATGACTGTCTTTATTTCTGTTAATATTTTTTTCTGAAGTATACTTTGATATTAATATAGCCATTTAAATTTCTTTCTTTTCTTTTCTTTCTTTTTTTTTTTTTTTTTGAGATGTAGTTTCCCGCTTGTTGCCCAGGCTAGAGTGCAATGGCATGATCTTGGCTCACTGCAACCTTTGCCTCCCAGGTTCAAGTGATTCTCCTGCCTCACCCTCCCAAGTAGCTGGGATTGCGGGTGCCTGCCACCACGCCCAGCTAATTTTTGTATTTTTAGTAGAGACGGGGTTTTACCACGTTGGCCAGGCTGGTCTCAAACACCTGACCTCAGGTGATCCACCTGCCTCAGCCTCCCAAAGTCCTGAGATTACAGGCAGGAGCCACCGCCCCCTGCCTTAAATTTCTTTAGAGTTTGCATATGTCTTTTCCCATTCTTTTACTTTATATCTATGTTCATCTTTAATTTTTAGTGTGTTTCTTGTAGGTGGTGTATCATAGGGACTTTTTTTTTTTTTTTTTTTTAAGAGAGAGAGGAATGGAGTGGTGCAATCATAGTTCACTGTAACCTCAAACTCCTGGGCTCAAGTGATCGTCCTAGCTCAGCCTCCCTAAGGAGTTGGGACTGCAGGCATACATCACCATACCTGATTAATTGTTTTTTATTTCTTGTAGAGATTAAGTCTCACTGTATAATCCAGGCTGGTCTTGAACTCCTGGCCTTAAGCTGTCCTTCCACCTCAGCTTCCCAGAGTGCTAAGATTACAGGCATGAGCCACTGCATCTAGCCAGGACTTACTTTTAAATCTAATTTGACAGTCTCTGCCTTTAGTTGGAATATTTAGCCTTTAATGTAATTATCAATAATGTTGGGTTTAGACCTACCTTTCTTGCTATTTGTTTTCTATTTGCTCTGTTTGTTCTTTTATTCTGTCTTTCAGAGTGAGAATTTTTTATTAATCTATTGCATAGTAATTATTCCCTTATTAGCTATACATCTTTATTTTAAATATTTAGTGGTGGCTTTAGGGTTTACAATATATATCTTTAACTTATAGTCTATAGTCAAATAATATTATACATTTCATGTAAAATGTCAGAACTTTACTGTAGTATATTTCAATTACCCCTTTCCATACTTTGTGCTATTGTTACTATATATTTTAGTTCTATATATAAAATATACACCAAAGTACACTGCTATTATATTTGCTTTAGAATATCCTTTTTAAACATCCGTATTGATTGATATACAATTCAGTCATTGAAAGTGTGCAATTCCATCATTTTTCTATATTCCTGAGTTATGCAACTATTACCACAGTAAGTTTTTGAACACTTTCATCATTCCATAAAAAAATCCAGGCCAGGCATGGTGGCTCACGCCTGTAATCCCAGCACTTTGGGAGGCTGAGGCCGGTGGATCACGAGGTCAGGAGATCAAGACCATCCTGGCCAACACAGTGAAACCCTGTCTCTACTAAAAATGCAAAGATTAGCTGGGTGTGGTGGCACGTGCCTGTAATCCCAGTGACTCAGGAGGCTGAGGCAGGAGAATAGCTTGAACCAGGGAGTTGGAGGTCACAGTGAGCCAAGATCACCCTACTGCACTGCAGCCTGGCGACAGAGCAAGACTCTTGTCTCTCAAAAATAAATAAATAAATAAATAAAAATAAAGAAACAAATAAGAAAAAAGAAAAAGAAATCCTATATCCATTAGCAGTCACTCCCCATTTCCCACCAACCGTTACAGCCCTAGACAATCCCTATTTTTGTCTTTATAGATTGGCTTACTTTGGATATTTCATATAAATGCAATCATATAATATGTAGCCTTTTTTTGCCTAGCATGTTTTTTTTTGTTTTTGTTTTTGTTTTGTTTTGCTGAAGACTATTCCATTGAATGGATCTGTCACATTTTACTTATCAGTTGATAGAATTTGGGTTCTTTCTACTTTTTGGCTGTTATGAACAGTGCTACTATCAACACTGATATACAAGTCTCTGTGTAGATGTGTGTTTTCACGTCTCTTGCGTATTGCTGGGAATTGCTGGGCCATATGGAAACTCTATTTTTAACATTTTGAGGAACTGCCAAACTGTTTTCCACAGTGGCAGCATCATTTTACATTTCTTCGGCAATGTTTGAGGGTCCCCATTTCTTCTCCCCGATGCTTGTTACTGTCTTTCTGTTTTTATAGCTATCCTAGGGGATGTGAAGTGGTATGCCATTGTGTCTTTCTTTAAATGATGCGGTAAAATATACATAACATAAAATTTGCCATTTTATAGATGCTCAGTGAGCAATGTTAAAAATAATTTTGCCATTTAAACAATTTCAAGTGTACAATGTTAAAAATACTTTGCATTTAAACAATTTCAAGTGTACACACAAAATTTTGCCATTTTATAGGTGCTCATGGTTAGCAATGTTAAAAATAATTTTGCCATTTAAACAATTTCAAGTGTACAATCCAATTGAATTAGGTACATTCACAATGGATGTAACCATTCCTACTATCTATTTTCAGAACATGTTCATCATCCCAAACAGAAATTCTGTACTCATTAAACAATAACTCCCCATTCCCCCATTTCCAGGCAGCCTCTATTCTCCTTTCTGTCCCTATGAATTTGCCCATTCTGGGTACCTTGTGCAAGTGGAATCAGGAATACACTTATACAATACTTGTCCTTTTTTCAAGGTTCATCCATGTTGCAGTGTGTATCAGAATTTCACAATTATCAAGGCCAAATAATATTTCATTGTATATATATATCACATTTTGTTTATCCATTCACCTGTTGGACATCTGGGTTGTTTGTACCTTTTGGCTATTGTAAATAATGCTGCTACAAACATTGGTATACGGGCTGGGCACGGTGGCTTACGCCTGTAATCCCAGCACTTTGGGAGACCAAGGCAGGTGGATAACGAGGTCAGGAGATGGAGACCAGCCTGGCTAACATGGTGAAACCTCATTTCTACTAAACATACAAAAACAGCCAGGCGTGGTGGTGGGCACCTGTAGTCCCAGCTACTCGGGAGGCTGAGGCAGGAGAATGGCGTGAACCCATGAGGTGGAGCTTGCAGTGAGCCGAGATCACGCCACTGCACTCCAGCCTGGGAGACAGAGTGAGACTCCATCTCAAAAAAAAAAAAAAAAAAAAAAAAAATTGGTGTACAAGTATCTGTTTGAATCCCTGTTTTCAGTTCCTTGGGTATATACCAAGAGTGGAATTGCTGGATCATATGATAACTCTATGTTTAACATTTTGTTTTCCACAGTGGCTGTACCATTTCACGTTCCCATCAACGGAGAGAGAGAGAGGGAGGGATATTTGTAGTTTAATGACAAGGATACGGTCTACATTGTTAGGCTATCTTCTCTTTGGGAAAATCATAGAGTATACTTACACAAACATAGAGGGTATATACATTTTTTTTAATATGTATTTTTTCATATGGAAAACCAAATGTCCCAGCACCATTACTGAGTATCAGTCATTTCCCCAACTAAATATGCAATGTCAATATCAAGTGCCATGTGTCAGGTTTCTACATATACTCCATTATAATCTATGGCACCACCATCGTACATATGATCTGTTGTTAACCAAAACATCGTGTGGCATATGACAATGAGATATATGTCACCCTAATGGTGGTTTTGGTCTTCATGTGCTTATTCGTCCATTTGTATATCTTCTCTGGACAAATGTCTATTCAGGTCATTTATTCATTTTAAAATTGGGTTTTTTGAGGTTGTCTTTTATTATTGAGTTGTAAGAGTTATTCTGGGTATAAGTCCCTTATCAGTACATGATTTAAAATGTCTTTCCCATTCTGTGGGTTGTCATTTCACTTTCTTGATGGTGTGTTTTGAAGCACAAACATTTTGTGAAATTTTAATTCCAATCTATTGTGTTGCTGTGCTTTTGGTGTATCTAAGAAGCTGTCGTCTAATCAGAGGCCATAAAGACTTACTCCTGTTTTTCCTTCTAAGTGTGTTGTAGTTTTCTTGCTTACATTTAGGTCTCAGATTTACTTTGGGTGAACTTTTCTACGTGATGTGAGATAGGGGTCCACATTCACTCTTTTGCAGGTGACTATCCAGTTGTTCCAGAACCATTTGTTGAAAAGACTATATGCTTTGCCCATTGAATGGTCTTGGCCCCTGTGTTGAAAATTAATTGGCCATAAATATAAGGGTTTATTTCTGAACTCTCAATTTTATTAAGTTGATTGATGTGTTTATCTTTGTGCCAGTATAACAATAGTTTTGATGATTATACCTTTGTAGAAGTTCTGAAATCAGGAAGTATGAGTCTTCCAAATTTGTTCTTTTTTCAAGATTGTTTTGGCTATTTTGGGTAGGTCCCTTGCTGTGCAGAAGAGTTAAACATAGCAAGCATAACTGTTTATGCTTAGGCCTTCCTGTAGACTCTTGGGCAGCCTCTAGAAACCTAGCTTTCTGATAACTGTGCTCACTATGCCTAAACTGTTAATACAAACAATATGCTTTATGCAGAACACCTGTTCTCCTGCTGGTAGTCTGACATTTTGGTACAACCTAGGCAGAGTGTGCCTACATGCTGTGCAGAAGGCGCCCCAATAAAAAGCCTGAGCACTGAGTTTCTAATGAACTTCATTATAAAAGACCGTTGGGTTTTGTCAAATTTTGTTCTTCACATCTATTCAGATGATCATTTGTTTTGTATTCTACCAATATGGTGTATGACATTGACTTTCATACACTGAAACAATCTTACATTCCTGGGATTAACCCCACTTAGTCATGGTGTTTAACACTTTGCCAGTATTTCGTTGAGAATTTTTGTTTCTATGTTTGTGAGATATTGGTTAGTAGTTTTTTTTTCTTGTGATGTCTTTGGTTTTGGTGGCAGGGTAATACTTGCCTCACACAATATGTTGGGAAATGGTTCCTCTCAGTTTTTTGCAAGAGTTTGTGAAGGGCTGGTATTAATTCCTCTTTGATAAAATTCACTAGGTTATTTTTTCAAAGATGTTTAAAATGAGAGAAATGTCTTTTACATTTAGCCACTTACTTTTCTCCCTACTCTGCTACTTTGTGTGGATCTGTATTTCCATTTATATCATGTTCCTTTTGTATGCAGAGCTTACTTATTCTATTTATGTAAGAGTTAGGGTCTCACTCTGTCACACAGGCTGGAATGCAGCGTGCAGTCCCTACTCACTGCAGCCTCAAACTCCTGGGCTTAAGCCATCTTCCCACCTCAGCCTGCCAAGTAGTTGGGAGTACAGGTGTTCCACCACACTCAGCTCATTAAAAAAAAAAAATTTTTTTTAGATACAGTCTAGTTATGTTGCCAACACACCTAGCTAATTTAATTTTTTTTTTATTATTATTTTTTAAGATACAGGCTGTGTTGCTCAGGCTGGTGTTGAAGTGGCCGTAAGCAATCCTCCTGCCTTAGCCTCTCAAATAGCTGGGATTACAGGGAGCAGCCACCATCTGTAAGCATCTGAAGAGCTTACTCTAGTATTTCTCAGAGTGCAAATTTGTTTGTGATGAATTCCCTCAGCGGTTGTCTGAAAAGGTTTTTAGCATTTTTAGGATATTATACCATTGACTTGCAGTTTCTGACAAAATGTTGCTATAATTCTTAACTTTGTTCCTCAGTATGTGATGTGCCTTTTTGTGCGTAATGCTTTTATGATTTTCTCTTCTGGGGCCGGGTGCAGTGGCTCATGCCTGTAATCCCAGCACTTTGGGAGGCCAAGGCGGGTGGATCACTTGACGTCAGGAGCCCAGACCAGCCTCGTCAACCTGGTGAAATCCCGTCTCTACTAAAAATACAAAAAAAAAGTTGGGTGTGGTGGTGTGTGTCTGTAATCCCAGCAACTTGGGAGCCTGAGGCAGGAGAATTGCTTGAACCCAGGAGATGGAGGTTGCAGTGAGCCGAGATTGCGCCACTGCATTCCAAGCCTGGGTGACAGAGCAAGTGTCTCAAGAAAAAAAAAATCTTTTTCAGTAATTTGATCATGATCTGCCTTGGTGTGACTTTCTTTAGGTTTATTCTCCCTCTGATTCATTGACTTTCTTGAATTTGTGGATTCATAGTTTCATCGAATTTGGGAAAATTTTCACCTATCATTTCTTCACATAAATTTCTGTTATCCCCACTTTCTCCTTTCCTTCTGGACTCCACGTGCACATACACTAGACTGTCTGGTATATTTCTACAGAGAACTGATTCTCTTCATTTTTTTCATTTCATTTTGAATTATTTCTATGGCTATGTTTTTATGTCTATTGATCTTCTAGTGTCTACTCTGCTATTAGTGGTTTTTTCATTTCATACATCTTATTCTTCTTCTTTATAAATTCCATTCAGGTATTTTTTCTGTCTTTCATTCCACTCTGCAGCATGTTCATGTTTTCCTTTTCATCTTTGAGTATATTTATACTAGCTCTTTTAAGATTTTTCGCTTCTTTCCTGAACTGTCATTTCTGGGCCCTTTCCTACTGACTGATTTTTCTCCTGGTTATGGGTCACAATTTCCTGCTTCTTTGTATATCCAGTACAATTTTATTGGATGCTTGATATTTTGAATTCTGCACAGGTAAGTGTTGGATTGTTTTCTTTAGAGTGTTTTGCCTTTTCAGGAACTTTTGGATGGCTGATCAAGTAGCCTCTGTTCTAGAATTAATTTAGCCATACTTCTAACGTGTGGTCATTCTAGGTTCCCTACTAAATGCCCCTTATAGTTGATAATGCCTCTACACTCTAGCTAGAGGGAATGTGAATTCTTTCTCATAGTGAGCTCAAGGAAATGTTCATCATACAGATCCCTACTATTCTTTCATGGGAAGTTATTCTTGCCTGGCCTCATGGGGTTTCATGCTGTATATATTCAGATTATTCAACCAAAGAATCAAGGAGGGGACTTCTATGCAAGTTTTTCTTTTGTTTTTATTTGCATAGCTCTGTTCCTTGCAGGACTCAGCCCTGCAAATTCTAGCTGCCTTGACCTCCTTGAGCCATGGTCTCTGGCTCAACTCTGTGGGATCATTAGACTCATGTCTTACAGCCTGGTGACACTTCCATGCAGTAAGCCAGAGTGGTCTGTTCAGTGACCACAGTACTGCAACACCTGCCAACCAGTGTCTGAAAAGAGCGGCTCATGTATTTTGTCCAGTTTCTAGCTGCTTACAGTGGGAGGGTATCCTGGACTGTATTTCTCCTGCATGGTCAGCAGCGCACCTCCATTGAGTCTGCATGTGTTTAATCTGATGGCTCTGTTGGCTGGCCTCTGTTATAGGTTATAAGTATAGCTGCCTGTGCTTACACCACGAGCACTTGGGGTGTCTTGTGGCAGGATTGAGCTAGCTCTAAAGCTGACTCCCTCTTCTCACTCCCTGCCTTTTCTCCCTTCCCTTCTGCAGAAAAGGTGTGAGCGGTACTGGGCCCAGGAGCAGGAGCCACTGCAGACTGGGCTTTTCTGCATCACTCTGGTGAGCTGTGGGAGGTTTCAAGGAAGATGCCCAGGGTGGAAAGGCTTTGGGTTGGGCCTAAAAGGATGAATGATTTAACCCACAGTCCACTCACACTGCAGGAAACCCTCTGGTGTTAGCCTGCAAATAGTTAGAACTTAATATAGGGATAGCCTTTGCTTTTTTATTTTGGCTACAATCACAGTTATCTCTGTCATGTAAATGTGCCTGGTTAGGTTCTTGAAAGTCTTTCTTCTCTTACCACTTCAAAAGAGCTTGGGGGAACTCTCAAGTCATACATACCGTTAGTACTTAATAAATACAATAGAAGTTTCAGTTTAGAACAAAATAATCTCTTTTCACTGCAAAAGGGCTTGTGTTTTTATAATAGTTCCTCTTTTTCTCCTGTGTCAAATGTTTCCTTAATGAAAGCTTTGGGGAAGTTTGGGCTATATGATTTTTTTTTTTTTTTTTTTTGAAACGGAGTCTTGCTCTGTCACCCAGGCTGGATTGCAGTGGCACGATCTCCGCTCACTGCAAGCTCTGCCTCCCCGGTTCACACCATTCTCCTGCCTCAGCCTCCTGAGTAGCTGGGACCACAGGCGCCCGCCACCGCGCCCAGCTAATTTTTTTGTATTTTTAGTAGAGATGGGGTTTTACCATGTTAGCCAGGATGGTCTCGATCTCCTGACCTCGTGATCCGCCCACCTTGGCCTCCCAAAGTGCTGGGATTACAGGCGTGAGCCACCGCCCCCAGCCGGGCTATATGAATTTTTAAAATGTTTTCTATATTTGATTTTTAAATCAGGAATGCTTTGCTTTCTATAAATGTCTTTTGGTACCTGTGATCTTTGTTCTCCTCCCTCTTCTTACTTGCCCCACCCCCCTTACTCAGATGAAGGAGAAGTGGCTGAATGAGGACATCATGCTGAGGACCCTCAAGGTCACATTCCAGAAGGTACTGTGACAAGGAAGGAGGAGGCAAAGGGGTTCCTGAAAGGGGAGAGATTTCCTCCCCTGTAAAAATGGGCATCATACTAGTACCACCTCCTCAGTTATTCTCTGGTAGATACTAGTACCCACCTCCTCAGGGCATCACTAGTACCACCTCCTCAGTTATTCTCTGCAGATACTAGTACTCCACCCTCCTCAGTTATTCTGGTAGATACTGTACCCACCTCCTCAGTTATTTTTCTTGGTAGACATACTTCAGTACCCACCTCCTCGTTATTCTCTGGTAGATACTGTGGCACCCACCTCCTCAGTTATTCTGGTAGATACTAGTACCCACCTCCTCAGTTATTCTCTGGTAGATATAAATGGAAGATGCCTAGAAGTGGGCCTGGTGTCTAGCAGGTACCCAATTAATGCTTTTTTTTTTCCCTAAGTCTTTTGCTCATCTTTTTCTGTGTTTCAGGAGTCCCGTTCTGTGTCCCAGCTACAGTATATGTCCTGGCCAGACCGTGGGGTCCCCAGCAGTCCTGACCACATGCTTGCCATGGTGGAGGAAGCCCGTCGCCTCCAGGGATCTGGCCCTGAACCCCTCTGTGTCCACTGCAGGTTCTGGAAATGGGCTTCAGGAGGGTCTGGTGAGGCAGAGGCGACAGGGCAGGGAGGGGAGTGCAGGGCGTGGGGCTAGTCTTGTAGTCTGAGTGCCTATTTTGAGAACCTTGCTCACCTCCATGGACTATAATTGTGAGCCCTTGTTCAGCATAGACTCAGCTGGGGAATAAGCACACAGCTGCTGCTCAACAAAATGTAAGTGATTAAAAAGGTCTTCCTTGCTCAGATATAATCTGGAGATTCTAGGAATCAAGAGGCTCTGCAAGGGATCCATTAGGACCCTCACCCCCATCCCCAAATGCCCTGTCTAAAAGGGGTTGTGGTCAGGACCTGACCAGGCACGCTCTGATTCTCTTGTCAGTGCGGGCTGTGGGCGAACAGGTGTCCTGTGCACCGTGGATTATGTGAGGCAGCTGCTCCTGACCCAGGTACGATGCAGGCATCCTGTGTGTGCAGTGTGCTGCCCATGACCTCGTGTCCTGCTCAAGTGCCTTGTCTGTCTGCCCCAGATGATCCCACCTGACTTCAGCCTCTTTGATGTGGTCCTTGAGATGAGGAAGCAGCGGCCTGCGGCCGTGCAGACAGAGGTGAACGCTGGGTCTCCTAATCTTCAGGGACAGTGGCCCGCTGCTGTCATTCCCTGCCTTCCCTTCCTGATGGTCCCTCACCCCAACAGGAGCAGTACAGATTCCTGTACCACACGGTGGCCCAGATGTTCTGCTCCATGCTCCAGAATGCCAGCCCCCACTACCAGAACATCAAAGAGGTACAGAGGCCCCTTTCCCACTCTCCTGTCCGCCATCAGCACCCTCAGAGACCAGGACCCTAAGCAGGGTCCAGCCCCCGGGACTCCTGGGAGCAGGCACTATGACATCCACCTGTGCCCTCCTCCGGGCATCCTTATCAGGCTCTGCCGTCTTAAGCTTTTTCCCATCAGGAGCCTCCCCTCCTGTTTTTCCTCAGAATTGTGCCCCACTCTACGACGATGCCCTCTTCCTCCGGACTCCCCAGACACTTCTCGCCATACCCCGCCCACCAGGAGGCGTCCTCAGGTACCCGGCTCCATTCCCACATTGTTCCCTGCCCAATTTCTCAGGCTAACCCCTTCCTCATCCTTGGAACACCAGTCCGTTCCTTGTTCACTTCGCCAAGTGCTCTCTGGCCCTTTCTTTAAATTGAGCCCTGGGAACCCACTCCAAGATGATTCATTTATCACAGTGGTCCCCTTGCCTCTGCCTCTAAGGCTTGCCGTGCCTTCTGAGTTAGACCTTTCCTGGATCCTCCAATCAAACCTTAATTCAGGTAGCTCACACCTGTAATCCCAGCACTCTGGAGGCCAAGGAGGGTGGATCACTTGAGGCCAGTTGGAGACCAGCCTGGTTAACATGGTGAAACCCTGTCTCTACTAAAAATACAAAAATTAGCCAGGCGTGCTGGCGGGAGCCTATAGTCCCAGCTACTTCGGAGGCTGAGGCAGGAGAGTCCCAGAAGGTGGAGGTTGCAGTAAACGGAGATTGCACCACGGCAGTCCAGCCTGGGCGACGGAGCTAGATCCTGTCTCAAAAAGCAACAAAAAACAATTCAGCAAATAATTCTAGATGCCGCCCTCTTGTCAGGCTGCACGTTGAGTGCTGCGGGCATGGGACTGAGCCGCCTTTGCAGCGGAGACTTAAGGCTCTTGTCCTTGCGGCCATCCTTCCCTGTCCTCTATGCCACTTCCGCACTCTCGTATTCAGTAGACACTGACACAGAAATGACCACCCCTCAAACCAGCACTGCTCCAATATCCTTTCAGGCCGACCCCGTTCCTCCTTCATCCACCTAACGTGCAGGGCGCTAGGGACACACAAGCGAGGCCCCCCACCCAGGGGCCCTGCCTCCCGTCTCCCGCCTCGACGGGAAGGAAGCCCGTGGTTTGCGCACTGAGCAGCCTCCCCACTCCCGCCCTGCCCAGCGCCGCCGTTTCACTTCCTCCCGGCCCTCCCTGCCTGCAGGAGCATCTCGGTGCCGGGGTCCCCGGGCCACGCCATGGCTGACACCTACGCGGTGGTGCAGAAGCGCGGGGCTCCAGCGGGCGCCGGGCCGGGGCCGGAGACCGGGACGGGGGCGCGCAGCGCGGAGGAGGTGCCGCTCTACAGCCAGGTGACGCCGCGCGCCCAGCGGCCCGGGGCGCACGCGGAAGACGTGCGGGGCACGGTGCCTGGCCGCGGTGAGTGGAGGCTTGCCCCTTCTCAGGGCATCACCTTGCTGTGGTCCGCGGGGCCCCGGCGGCCGCGAAATCCCCCAGCCCCCATACTAACCTGGCCACGCCCCGACGCTGACGTCGCGGCGTCCCTGGCCACGCCCCGGAAGCGCCCCCTGGCGGTCGCGGTCCGGGTCCCGGGGCAGGTTCCGGGCGACACTAGCGGGCTTGTCTCGGCCGCGCCCAAAGGCTCGAGGCTGCGTTCGGGGTGTGCGGCTTAAACGCGGCTTCTCCCGCCAGGCGCCCTCGGCCCTCCTCCTTGGGCCTCGGGGGAAGCATCCCCGCCAGGGGTGGGGTCTTGGGGCTCCCTGGGGCTTCCGGAGCTGACTCGTGTGGGGGGTCTCCTGCCCGCAGTTCCTGCTGACCCAAGTGCTGCCGCATCTGGCGCCTACGAGGACGTGGCGGGCGGAGCTCAGGCCGGCGGGCTGGGTAAGTCGGGGAGAGCCTGGGCTGCCGGGACTTTGCGGCTTTGAGTGAGCCCCGGGAGTCTGGGGTTGAGGGATGGGGCATGGAGCTCAGTCCTGTGGATGTGGCTGCAGTGAATCAGAAGCACCTGGAGGCAGGGGGATGGCCGTCTTCGTGTTTGCCAGCCTCCGCACACCTCAGCTTCGTCATGAGACCCACGGCACCCTTCCTCTCCCAGGTTTCAACCTGCGCATTGGGAGGCCGAAGGGGCCCCGGGACCCCCCTGCTGAGTGGACCCGGGTGTGAGTCTGCGCCAGCTCCTGCCCGTTGCCTCGTGTGAGCTCGGACTGCTTTGTGCAGAATGGAAACAGTGCGCCTGAATCAAAATAAAAGTTTCTCAGGGTGGGAAATGCGGGGACTTTGCCCCAGTGACTGTAGCATTCAAGGCTTGAGGCTGGAGGAGGTAGGTTTGGTATAATGGCTGGTGAGGCTGCACGGAGCAGATTCAAGAAAGAAGGTCGGGAAGGGGCACGGCCCCTGAGTTATGAAGGGGAGAATGGACAGATGAGCTTCCAGAGACTGCTCTCCTCACCACATAACGCACTAGTCCATCCTCAGCACCTGAGCCTGCCTCACTTGAACACTCAGGGGATCACACAGAGAAATGGATGGACCCCTCGCCATCCAGGCAGACCGATAAAAAGACCTCCAGATAGGCAGACAGACGGATGGACCACCAACCTGGACAGGCAGCCACACCTTCAGAGATACAGTCCACAGGTGGACAAAGGGACCCCCAGCCAGAGAGACCACCAAACAGAGCCCCCAAAAGACAGACACCTCTGCCAGCTGGACAGCCGGGTGGACCCCTAAGTTAGCCAGATGTAAACAGATCCCCAGCTGAACAGATACACAGACTTCTCAGACCCTACCCCCATCCCCCAGGTGGGCTGGCTGGCTGAAAAGACCTTCTGGCCAGACAGACTCCTAACCAACCAGATGGACTGCCAGACAGACAGACATCAGCCACATGGAATCCTGACATCCCAGCCAGCCAGTGAGACTCTCATCTTGATGGGTGAACCCCAGGTGGTTGGTCAGACGTGATCCTCCAGATTGACAGAGAAGTCCTCCAAATGAGTACATATCTCCAGCTATTCAGACAGATGGACCCCCAGCAAATCAGGCCCTATCTAGACCCCAGCCAAACAGACCCCCAACCAAACTGACCCCTTGCTGTTCACACAGCCTCCCGAGTAGCTGGGACTACAGGTCTAATTTTTTTTTTTATTTTTTAGAGATGAGTTTGCCATGTTGCCCAGGTTAGTCTCGAACTCCTGAGCTAAAGCAATCCTCCTGCCTTAGCCTCGCAAAGTGCTGGGATTATAGGTGTGAGCCACCAGGCTCAGCCCCCTAAGATTTGAAACACTTTAAATGGCCCTAGCAGGTTTTATCCTGCTAGGATAAAACATTAAGCAGCTGTTAAAAAAAATAAAAAAAAAAAAGAAACCGCCTCTGTGCACTGGTGTGGACAAATCTCCAAGTCACTGCAAAATGGAAAAATATAAGATGCTCTCTCCTGGAACCTCAAGGGTCCCGCCCCTCTCACCTTCAGGTCTCTGGACCTCTGACTGACACTGTGCCTGCCCAGGTCCCTGTCTGTACCGCCACAGTGCCCTGGGTCCCATGTCCACCCCTGTCCTGCCTTCTCTGGGTGAGGGCTGGCCTTCCCCTGCCCCTGCCTGGCTGCATCCTTGTTCGATCTCAAGTGCCTTGGCATGAACTCCACTCTCCTGCAACCTTTAATCAGGGAATGATGGGGGATGTATTCATACCCCCACCCCCCCACCCCTTGGCCAGGTGATGCTGAGATGTGGATTTTTAACAGTTCCTAGACTTTTCCAGGAGACTTGGGTTTGGGTGCCCACAGTGGGAGCTGGTGTGATATACCTTCGCTGGCTGCCTTTCCTTCCTGTTCTCTGTGCCCCTACTTCCCACTCTAGAACTGCCCCGTTTCTCTGTTTTCATGAAAGAGCTGGCCCTGTGCTGCCTCCCACTCTCCCAATGCCCCTGCCTCTCCTGTGAGCCTGCTGCTGGTGAGGTCGGTGCTGACCTCTGTGTTGCTGGATAATGAGTCATTTATCTCTGGAGGAGAGGAAAGGCAGGTCCTCCACAGCCCTGATAAAATCTCCAAGTCTTCCAGTTTCAGGTCCTTCTCCTGGGAGGCAAACCTACTGCCTGCCCAGGTGGCACGGTCCACATCCCCTCTTCTTGGGAATAGGGGCATGGGAAAGTGACAGAAGATACTGTTCTGGCTGCTGTGTTCACTGTGAGTAATAAATTGTCCATTTCTCCGATTCAGAGGTCTGTTTTTTGTTTGTTTGTTTGTTTGTTTGTTTTTCTCCCAAGATGAAGTCTTGCTTTGTTGCCCAGGCTGGAGTGCAGTGGCGTAATCTTGGCTCACTGCAACCTGTCTCCGCCTCCCGGGTTCAAGCAATTCTCCTGCCTCAGCCTCTGGGCTGAGTAGCTGAGATTGAACGCATGCACCACTATGCCCAGCCAATTTTTGTATTTTTAGTAGAGAGGGGGTTTCACCATGTTGTCCAGGATGGTCTCGAACTCCTGACCTCGTGATCTACCCGCCTCTGCCTCATGAAGTGCTGGGATTACTGGCGTGAGTCACTGCGGCCGGCCTTGGTCTGGTGTTTTGTCCACATGTGCATGTGATGTGGAGCTGTGCAGGCCATCTTGTCAGCGTTCGAGGAGGGTTCAGTCTCTGAGCCTTCTTGGCTTCTGACTTCAGACCCAGTAGCCTCCCTCCTGGCCCAACATGGCAAGCACAGTTTCCACTTAGACATTTCCCCTGGTTATTCTCTCTGCCTTCGATACTTTTCTTCCAGATTCTGCCTCTCATATATTTGAACATTTACCTCTTAATATTGTTTCCTATCTGTCTCTCCTGACAAGATTGTAAGCTGCATGAGGGCAGGAGTTTGTGTTTGGTTTACGGCCACTGTCCCAGCTCCTAGAACAGCGCTGACACATAGGAAGCGTGCAGGCTGATTTATCTCGCACCATTTACTCCAGGCTTCCTCACTTGTAGTAAAATAGGATACCTTGTCTCAAATGTTCTCTTCCCCTTTCCGGACCCATGTCTTTACTCATGTAGATCACTGCTTCAGGCTGATATAAAAACCATTCTCTTGTTAGGAAAGCTCAGCAATGGGAGTGGCAATCCACCACCCGTCTCTTGTTAGGAAAGCTCAGCAACGGGAGTGGCAATCCTCCACCCGTCTCCTGCTCTCCTACAAGTCTTTCCTGGAGGTAGTGGGTTGAATGGTGGCCCCCAGAAAGATAGGTCCAAGTTCTAACTTCCAGAACCTGTGAATGCAACCTTATTTGGAAAAAGGGTCTTCGCAAATGTAATTACAACACCTAGAGATGAGATCATCCTGGATTTAGGATGGGCCCCAAACCCAATGACTGATATCTTTATAAGAGAAAGGAGAGTGAGACGCAGAGACGGAGAGAGGAAGGTCATTGGAGATAGAGGCAGAGATGGGGGTGAAGTGTCTGCAAACCAAGGAATGCCAAAGATTGCCAGCAAACCGCTGGGGGCCAGGAGAGAGGCCTGGCCAATTCTCCCTCACAGACTGTGGAGGGAACCACCCTGCTGACACCTCAGTTTCAGGTTTGGGACCTCAGAATTGTAAGAGAATAAACGTCTGCTGTTTTGAGCCACACGGTTTATAGCCATTTATTATGGTGGCCACAGGAAACTCACACACTGGGTATCCAAGAATGCAAGGCCTAGCCGCTCCTGAACTGGGCATCTCAGGGCTGTGTTTGCAATAGGACACCCGCAGTAGGTGATGTTTCCCTCTGGATATGCCCTGAGCTCAGGGCTCCTCTTCCGCAGTGCAGCCCACTGGGTGCACCCATCTGTCTGGGCTCTCACAAACCCCCATGGGGCACCATATTTGTGTTGCTTTGTTTCTGACCCAGTAGGGGCAGTGAAGGCTCAGCTGTCAGTGTCCAAGTAGGATCGGATCTGATGACGCCTCCTTTTCACAGGAGTTAGTTACTCCTCCCTCCTTTCTGCTTTCAACATCCCCTGCCTTGACTTTGCTCCTTTGCATGGCATTCGTTTGTCTTAGACCATGACGTCCTGAGAGAAAACTAGGCCCTGTTTGTGGCTAGGTTTGTTTTCAACCCCAGGGGCAGAGAGCTGCTTTACATAATCGATGAAAACTTTGTTTCTGTTTTCTAACTCTCGATTCAGTGCTCTTTTCACATACTCCCAAGCTTACATGTCCCTGCTACCTTCAGAAACAAAACATGATATTAAAAGTTGCTGCTGGATATTGGGCAGCTGATATCTGACCTCATGCAGCAGAAGGGGAGGGTGAGGAATTGCCACTTGACATAGGGATCCCCTGAGCTTCCCTGATATTAACATGATGCGGGGGGCAGGGGGCTTGATAAAAACCAAAGCGCAGTCGGGAGCTCAGGGCTGCTGCTGAGAGTCTAATGGCTTCTCAGCCCCTGGTAACCTTACCCTTCAGGCCCTGCTCCCGCCTCTTCTCCTGCCTCCCACCCACAGCCAGTGCTCCACCAAACTTCACTGCCTTCCTGGAGTGCTCCTCCCTACTGTCTCCTCCGGCCCAGTCTCCTTCATCCCAGGAGACCCAGCTCACATCTCACCTGCCCTGGGGATGTGGGGCCTTCTCCCTCCCTCTCCAGAACTTCTCTTCCCCAACACTGCTCTGCAGAGCACTTGGTGTCCACCTCATCACACCCCTGCCCTGCGCCGGCAGGGTCCGGGGCTACAGGCAGGTTCTGTGGGTCAGGGATGGGTCTTGCTCCTCTTCATCACCTACGTGTTTGGAGCTTCCCCTGCACAGAGCAGTGCTCCGCAAATGATTGTGGATTTTAACTCAGTCAGGCTGATTGCTCAGTTGTGTACCAGAGAAATGGTCTTGTTGGAAAGAGCCTGCAGAATGCCAACTGTAGCCTCAGTGAAGATGATAGAAGACGTCACTGAGCAACGATGGCTTATAACTCGTTCAATAATAGCTAAGTTTGGCCCAAACAAGGTCAATATCTGAATAAACTATGCAGTAAGTGAAAATTGTTTTATTTATTTTATGGCATGTTTATTTTAGAATATACAAAATGGTCGAGGAGTCATGAATCCTCAAGAAAATATGAAAAAGACAAGTGTTTATAAAGCCATACCAGCATCCAATCAATGTCAGAAGCTTTAAGGGCTGAGAAGTGTCCAAACATCAAGTGTACTTGAGAAGTGATTTCCACTGGATTCCATTGCTCTCAAGTCGACCCTGGCCCTGCAGCCTTACTTTTGAGGATGACTTCTCCAAGAGGTCTGTCTGTTTGGGGACAGATGATTGATGAGGTCAGCAAGCTGAACGTTGTGACCTCTCCAGCCCGAAACCTTTTTCAGGTACCAGAAATGGGAATTTTTTTTATATTATCTCATTTAACATGCCTTGGAGAGCAGGACCCCAGGGTTGTTTTTTGTTTTGTCTTTGTTTTTGTTTTGAGACGTAGTCTCCCTCTGTCGCCCAGGCTGGAGTGCAGCGGCTCACTCTCGGCTCACTGCCAGCTCCGCCTCCCCGGTTCACGCCATTCCCCCGCCTCGGCCTCCTGAGGACCCCAGGTTTTTAAGTCTTTGGGTTCTCTCATAGGTTTCGCACTGAGTTGTTGATCAATAAACATTTTTTGAATCTAACAAGAAAACTCTTGGTGGGAAAGAGTTCTAAAGTTGAACTTTCTCCACCCTGACCTTGAAATCGGTCAAAGAGCCCCACCAGAGTGTGGGATCAGTAGCTCTGCCGCTACCAGCCAATGTTTCAAACTTGCATTGTCGTATGTACAGCGGATGCCTTTAAGTAAAGCAGTCAGCATCCAGAATATCAACAGTTACTTGGAATATTTTGGTGAGATAGCCGACTTCCCCAGAAATGAGCCTGATGTATACACACCATCCCCAGTGTTGACACTGGGAAAATGGGAGAATCTCATGTTCTCCCTGAACCTGGGGCAAACGTGTTTGGTCCCTTCTTCACTGAGGCTGAACAAAGCCCATTCCAACCCTGCAGTACAGAAATGTGGCCCAAGGTGCTGAGTGAGTGGGGAGGAAGGAGTCACTGCATAGGCCGCTGGCAACTGTTCGTTCAGAGTCCTTTCTTCGTTTGTTTTTGCATAGACAAACCTGACCCCATAGGCATACTCACTTCATCAGCTCCTGTGTCCCACTTGCCAGCAACAGAATAATGTGCCTGAGAAGTGTTCTCTTAGTGACTGAACTTTCCTGCTGTTCAGGCAGTCTAATGATGGGTCAGGAGAGCCTAAGAGGTATTTGAATTGAGGAGGATTTTGATTTCACTAGAATAATCAGACTTCAAGATATTCACCATTAACACCAACTATGTGCAGCTCTCACCGTGTGTGTCTCTCTTCCTACACAAGTTTATTGTTAAACTATATTTGTCTTTTTTTTTTTTTTCCTGGAAAGGCAAGCGAGATGTCTAGGGGATTTTATGTCTGATAAATGCTTCTAGTTGAAGATGTATTACCAAGAAATTTAGACTCCCCAGGACTGAGTGGGGTGATGAGTGTATTTCTAGAATGGCTTCACCATTTGCTGGAAGACAGAATATGCTTCATGGCCATCTCCTACCAATTTTTGGCTCCTTACTTCTCCCCAATGCCCCACCCCTACTCTTTCCAACATCAGCTATTTTTATGTTTTCCCCAAGTCTGAAGCTTCTCGATATATGCAGTTTTGCAGAGACCCACAATACTGTTTTCTTCTAGATAGCTGAGTTCTGTGGTTCTAAGATGAATAGCTAGTTCTACCTTTAATGTGGAATTGAGAACATGGTGTTTTGGGTAGGTGAGAGACAGAAAATCATGATATGTTAGAACTGGAAGCACCGTGTTTCCTAAATGAGGGAAAGGGGAGAGGAGGCAGGTATTAGTGGTGAGGAAATCAGTCAGGAGACAGTTACCAGTGGATGCGAAGAAGGATAAGGGCACCAGAAATGGAGGTGCGACTACAAAGTGGTAAAAGAATGTTGACCACCTGCTCAGGGCCAACGACCTGAAGGCAAGCAGGTCAAAACAGGGAGCTCCTGGCAGGTGAAATTTGTGACAAGATAGAGTGCTTGTTGCAGTGTCTATTCTTTTTTTTTTTTTAGAGACAGGGTCTCATTCTGTCACTCAGTCTGGAGTGCAGTGGCTGGATCATGGCTCACTGCAGCCTTGGCCACCTGGGCTCAAGCAGTCCTCACACCTCAGCCTCCCCGGTTGATGTGACTGCAGGCACGTGCCA